GATGGGAGTCGAATCTTCATTTTCAGATCCCAAGTGGCCGGGTGGGAGGGGAAGGGCTACTAATCGGGTCTGCTCTTGTTTTCAGCAAAACTCGACGCCGCATTTAACTGCCGAAAGAACGTTAAGATTTTGGAGCCTGCTCATTTTTGGAATCTCCATGCGACTTCGCCTTCATTCTGAACAATTAAAGGGGTTGTATGGGTGGAGTGAGAGGGTGGCTTAATGTCTTTTATTTCAGATCTCCGGGAAATGGGGTGGGATGGGAAGGGCTACTAATCGGGGTCTGCTCTTGATTTCAGAAAAGATATTTCTATCGTATTAAGTCTTAACTTCAATTTATTTTCAAAGTTGAGACGTCTACTTTGAACTGACTGTTAGCGTACAAAATGCCTAGATGTTTCTTCCGCTTGTCAGTTGACAAATCACTGTATACATCGCTTTGCTAGATTCTAATTCTGCTCGTTTGTTTACAGATCTACCATCGTCTAACGCTTTACAAGAGGACCGAAGGTACACATTACAACTCTAATGTACTGTAAGGAATGACCTTTGGAAGAATTTATTGTAATATTCCACCTTCAATTGTGATTGAAAATAAATGTATAAGAAACTGGTTCTTTGTCCCAGTTTTTGATCCTATATTTGATATATACTAGGAACGAGTTTCTCTTACTTTCCCGTTACCACTGTTCCTTTCGTACTCTTAACAAAGAAGCTCCTTTACCTCACCAATGTGTAAACTGTAGGCTTTTGAAATTCTCAGATCAGTCTAGTTCCCTCCGTATTATCGTCATTCCATATTTCCTGAAGCTCCAAGAGTAGAATACATGCAAATAAAATTGGAAGAATCCCGTTATACCATAGTTGCATAACGACTTATAAAACGTTAAGAAATATAACGGATCTTCGCCTTCAACGCTACATAAAGATCTAAACTTGTGGAAAGAATGTCTGTTTGTGAAAGAAATTGAAACTTGAAATATTTTCATTAAACTTTATATTCTGAATGGGCATTTTTGATGTACGTTCAGGGAAGTTAAAATTAAAAGTAACACAACTAACCTGAAATGTTTATAAACTGAGTTTGATAATATTTTGGGAAAAGTAAAAATATGAATTAAAATGCCCCAAGTAGAACATCGAAAATACCTCAAGAATGTCCCATTAAAGTCCTCATCTGTAAAAATTCTCACGTTCCGCAGAACTTCCAAATTTTGCCGGGGCAAACTGCGTTTTGGTAGTGCGGGCGTGATCACTAAAAAAATAAAAATGTACACAGCACCACGCCCTCGCGAACTGCGCTGTCGGATGTTCCGTTCACATCCAAAGAAATGGCAGTGCAAACCAGTATCAGTAAGCTCTAGTGTAATGTTTGAGGTCGCTTATTAGGGTGGACGGGTCGCGTTCGTGTATTTACGAAAGGTGGCATAACCTCACAAATGGCGAGTACCACGCAGAACTGCAATGTGCACGTATTAATGCCTTATCTGCTTTTGACAAATTGTCATGTATTATGTACAATTGACATATATTAATGCTCCAACTGATTTCGGCAAATGAATTGCAAAACAATTTCCTTTTTCAAAAGACCAAAACGCAGACTATTAAGCGATCCTACGCAATCGTGCGGCAAAAATATTATGTGGCGTCAACTTCCTCTATCTGGTGAACAATGCAGAACGTCAACATGGCTACAGAACCTGAAAATGGTTTTCATCAAATATTATGTGCACGAATAAGTGTAGATATGAAATTTACTTTACTAGGAAGAAAGAACTCGTAATCATATTTGCAAAACCCTATAATATTACTTTTTTCATTAAAATACCACCTAAATCCTATTACACGAACGAACTATCGGGATTATGAATTATACATTTACCGTACGTTACGAAACATTATAAAGGAAACAATTAGACATATTCATTTGATTTTGAAAAGAATTACTAAGCAAATATCTTGTTTTTGAGCATGACTATTAGTGTGGTTTTGGAGGCCCCCCACGTTACTGCTTCATATCTAATCAATGTAAGTCAGATATTCTAGACCTTCGAGTGCTTTTTCCCGCTTTTCATGATCAGTTTATTGCAAGAAGACAAATTGAACTTGGTAACATCGCTCCAACCTATCGTCACTGTTTCGCAGAACGATGGTGATAAGATTTTCAATGCTAGTTTTAAACAGTAGTAAGTGACCGACATCATGTTCAGTGTTACTATATTGATATTGTATAATCAACAATGACCTACGAAGCGCAGGGCAATAAGTTAATCAAACAACCCTAAAGTAAATTAACTAATACTACTAATTTCAACCATCATGGCGTCCAAAGGCCACATGGCTATCACGGGAAGCAATGTGCAATTCACTCGAAAGGAATGTTTTCAGCAACACACACACGACCAAAACAGATCGAAAGACAGTCGCCCATGGCGAAAGCTGAACAGTTCGACAACTTTCTATACACTAAATTCATTTCTCTGTAGGAAGCGAAACAATTATAGCCGAATGAATACTAGTGGTGCCAAAGCAGAACGTTCTCTCAATTTCGTAGCGTGAAAGTAAAAAATACCCAGAAATACTATTTTGTTTTTAAACATGTTATATGACTCCATTCTAAGAACCGGTTAGTATCCTTAGTTTTGGTAACAAGCATTCAATCACTAAATCAGTAAGTAACACGCTTAAATATATATTTCAAAATTCTCTCAATCACCTCGAAAACCTTTGAAAAATTAAATTACATGAAACGAAATAAACACATGAAACAAACCCAATAGGTTCTCTTCAAAAAACAGGATTTGAGGCTACTATTATATGTACTGCACCTTCCGAAAGGGATATCACACTATCACTACGTTTCTAGATATCTTACAAGCTTTCGACCTAATATAGCACCTGGACCCTCTATTTCAAATCGTTGCAAATTTGTATCCCAAACTCTTTAATATAGGACATTAAAAACTTTATCACCGCCAGACGACGAAACGTCTTCTTTCAATTGCAAATTGCAAAACTAAAGGAAGTAATGAACAAATGACGGCGGATAAGCGTTCAATTACAAAACATTATTAATGTTTTGTATTTGTATTATAAAACTAGTTCACAAGAACGGGTGACAACATACCTACATCCCGCTAACTTACATTTCAAGAAAAAATCACGAAATTTGGTTGAGAAGAAATCTACAAATTTTCTAAACGCAAACCATTAATGTTTTCTATATGTATATAAGTATTATTTCAGAAAGGTTAATTAAACCACAGAGTCTTTTTGACAAAGAGTTTTCAAAAATTTAGAAATAAAATCACAGAATCACATATTCATAAACTGAAATGTTTTGATTCTTCATTAAACAAGATCGTTGTGCGACTTTTCTAGTATATGTTTTTCCTCCATCTTCAGGCTATAATGAACGTAACTTTTTTTTAAAGAACATAAATGAAAAGATACTGAAGTTGAAATAACAAAAAAATGATACAGTTATTGTAAAATAGCACTAGATATAAAAAACAACACCCGGAGACTCACCATTTTGAAAAACAAAAGATAATTAATACATTAAAATAAATAAATCAGCCAGTGCAAAATCACTTGCAGCATAGCGGTTGCCATGAGTTGTCAATTCTGTGGTCAAACTCTTCTAAAATGAACGAGTAGTGACAAACAATTTTCTGTTTTCGTTCAAGCATAATTAGTATTATTTGCACTCACTCGAGCTTGGCCATGACGTCAGCGCTGCACGTGGACCATACCGTTTCCCCATAGGTGCCGCGCGACGGCGACATGATGAAGCCGTCCTTGGGGCACGAGTTGCCCCCGCCGTCGTGGTGCATGCCCAGGCTGCAACACAGCAAGGCAAGGCGGAGGTCAGCGCGAGAAATTAAGTGAAGTCGTTGGCTACCGCGCCTAGAGGCATGCAAGTGATCTTCGCTGGCCAGGTGACGCCGCGTCCAAGACCGTGGTGCTGACATTTCGACCATTTTGTCACGGTCGAAACGTCGGCATGACAAGATGGCCGCAACGTTCGATGCGGCATCACCCGGACAGCCAATATCATTTGCAGAGCTAGAGATACTAGTATATGTGCTGACGAGTATCCGTATAGGCAAGCGGCGGTTTCTCATGTGATGTAAGGGAGGAAAGCCCTCCACAAGTTTTCTTCATTTGAATATAATCACAAAGTAAAATATTTGCTTTGAAATTGAAGGGCAAAAATTCTTGAATTGGTAGGGATGAGAAAATTGTCTTTGATCCAGTTTTTAACTGCGCGTGCTATGAAGGGGCACGAAAGAATCGGAATCTGTTTGTAGAGGAACTATACAATTTAATCCTTCGTGTACTAAACCTTATTTAACAGTTTTCATGATAAGTGAAGAAAAAAAAAGGATTTAATGAAGCCAGACAATCCGATAGGAGAAGCTCCCTTTTCAACTGTTATCAAGAGACGTCTTTCAACTACGAGACTCTTTGATTTTTTACTCGTAGATTAACAATTGACGCCTCCCCGTCTCCCCCAAAAGTCATGTCACGAACCGAAAACTTCCAGGACGTGGGCAGAGGCTGGTTGGTTCATTGATTGATTGATTGATTGATGTCTTCAGGCATTTGGAATGCTATGGTCATGTCTTGTTAGTGTAGTGAATGTTTTATGCCTGGAGGAAGTGGTGTACCTCCCCCATGTGGTATCTCCCCCAGCTGGGCACCGCTCCAGCTAGGACAAGATGTAGGGGCGGCTGGCTTGACCCAAAAATTGTACATGTCGCCAGTCGCCAGCCAGCCGGCGCCCTGAACACTGCGCCCGCGACCCTGCCGCCACTGAAGATGTACACCGCAGACGTGAATGAAACGTTTGGCCCTTCAATGCCAACTGGACCACGGCCTACCAGCCCGAAAAATTGATCTTCTATTGACTCCGGCCGTGAAAGTCTACGACGCTATATTTACACGGATATGTTCGTTTTTCGTATGTTATGCACCGTATTTCGAATTGTGGCGCTACGACAGCACATACATTACATCATTTTTAAATTTTGCAATTTTTGAAAATTCAACAAAATGGACATGACCTTTGTTAAAGATCTGATTTGATACAACAGATTTTACTTATGACAAAATATCTATCTTCAAACTTGTAGTAAAGTAATGTTACCTTTTGCAATTTTCAAAAATACACCGAGTTTGCCGAAAATGGAATTAGCCTTACTTTTTTACCGTTCTTTGATACATAGGGGAAAATTTAAAGAAAAATTTGGGACGGCATTTCAGAACAAAAACCGATATTTCTCGAAAAATTATGCGAAACTACTCATATTTTCGAAAAATTGTACATATCCTTATTTCAAGATATGTCATTCGACAACAGATTAAGGGGAAATCTCGATACTCCCGATATTGTAGTTGAAGGAAAACGTCAAAAAATATTTTGAACTTTTGCAATTCTGGAAAAATTAAGGATTTCAACGGAATTAATTCTCAGCCATTATTTTAAGCGCTTTTTACACACCCGAGGACAAAGTTTTATCAAACATTTGAAGTCTTTTTTGGAAAAATTTTGAAAATGTTCATGTAAAGTAGTTTCAATAAAATTAAAATATCCATTCCAAACTCGCAGGTCGTCGAGTTTCTTTAAATCTGTCGGGGAATATTGACTTTGGAGAAAATCAGCAGAAGGGTTTTGACGCAAGCGTTGTCCAGAGACTGTTGTTTTGTCGTCAATCAATTTTTCGACATTAAGAACCACAGAATACGGATTCTAATCATAGAACGTGTTAAAGGAAGTAATTTACTAGGTAAAGAAACACGATTTATCCACTTTTTCACTACCAGGGTCTGGCAGTAAGCGTTTTTCTGTCGAAAATTCGTCTCTTTCCGGCGCCAGATTATCTATACTTTCTTTTTTTACGAAGTGAAGGCGAGAAAATAATAATATTTTCTCAAAAATCAATGCTCCGTGAAATGTTACTCGAGCAATTCACCATTAAAAACCTTAAATCACGTTGCACTGTTTCCTCTCAGCCAAAACAACTATACTGATATAATCGATTACTTGAAGTCTGGAGATATGGAAATTAACTACAGAGAAGTTATTTTTCCGATCTCTATGAAGAACGTATTTCTTACAAAAACTCATTTGAAATGGAATCATTCTATCCGTATTGGAGTTCATTGGAAAGGCTGTGTTCGTAAAAACTGGTTTAAAGTGACTGAATAATTGGCCTTTTAGACACAGGAGTCTGCGCATAGGTCAAGGTTTAGGTTTATTTATTGATTTATTTATTTACGTCAAAAACACGTGACACTCTGTGACGTGTGATGTGGAGACGTTAATTTTAAGTTACATTTATGTCCAGAAGCAAAACAAGGGGCCATCTCAGCATTTGCTCAAGGATCAGGGAAACTGGACGAAAACCTGAACGAGACTTAGAAGGTCATTGATCCACAAGGGGTCTTGATCAAGATCTTGATGAAGGTTCTTGAAGCCTCTTTGTTAAAACCTTTGTTTTGGTTTTAATGGTATTGATTTAACAAGAGATAACACCCAGCATTTTTGTCACTTATGTCTTCAGTAATTAAATATCAACTCCTGTTACCGTAATCCTTACGAGTCTTTTGGGGTGAATGTTATTGTTGTGACCAATAGTAGCGTAAAGAAGAGGATGGGTGTTTCCATTGCAAGGGTGACTTCATATAATATATTGTACTGAAAATAGGTGGATTTAATTCTAATTACAATAAAAGATAATACGAATATTATATAATGTAAATAATATTCAGCAGAAGTCAAATTGTACACAAATTGTTCGACAAAAAATAAATTGTGATATAACTAAGAATAGAGCCGAATACTTGAAATAGAAAGTAAGGAATGCGTGAAATGGAGGAAAGAAAACACATAATCACGGGTGATCCAATCAGGCTATCAACTTGAAATTTCTCATTAAAAATTACGAAAACATATCTGAATTACAATTTTCAACGTGAACAGAAATACAAGAGTTTTATGAGTTATGAAAGAGAGATTTCTTGGAAAAGATAATTCTCATACTTATTCATAATGTCTTGTTTTTTAGTAGTTATTGTGAGATGCCATTGTCGGAGTGTGAATACGGTTCCACTCGCCTTATATCTTCTGTAATGTTGGCCCCATTCACACGGCCATACTTCCTCAGAGAAGAATACCGGTATCTAATATGGATCTAGAATTCTAAAGTGGTCCATCCTGTGTTTCAGTTTCCCTCAACTCTAAGCAAGTTGAACGACCTTCCGGGCCAAATCTCTATCTGCTAAACTGGATAAGGCTGCTATGCTGAAGTTTTGCCAAGCTAGGACATTGAAAATTGCAAATCTTTGAATAAAAATGTCGGTCTTGGAATTTAATTTCTCGTCGCACTGGCAGTATTTCGAGATAATAATACATTTTAAATCAAATTAGAAGAATTATTAATTAACCGTTTTCTTTATAAATTTCAATACTACTTGGACACGTGAACATCGGAATATTTATTTTTCTTAAGCAGTCTGATTTGATTAATATTTTAAAGTAGGTATGTAGGTTTCATTAATAAGGTATACGTTGACAACAGTGTTGCATTCGGAAAAAAATTGAGAAAAAAAGAAAGTGAGTTGTTAATGAAAGGCAATGCTACAAACAAAAATATTCTCTTGTTGAATATTCAATTGAACAAGTTAGGAGTAAAATTAAATAGCGATTTAAATTTTCTATAGTACGTTTAAATAAAAAGAGGCATATTTATCCTAGTTGTTTGGGACATTTGGATTCACGAATCCTGAGAAAATTTGAGAGTCGAAAAAACGAAATGTATAAAGATTCATTACATGTATATTTTATTTTAATAATCTATTTTACTATATTTTTTCATTAAATGGACATAAAGAAATAATTGATTATAGAATAAAAAGAAAAAATCAAACCTGCTCAAACATTGTTATAATATATCGGTTTCCATACTTTCCGAATTTTGACTTACTCGTGTTTTTTATCTCAAAATCTATTCAGTTAGATTTCTACAGCGTAATTTTATTCTTTTAGACTACAAACGAACTTTATTGAGAGCTTTATTTCACTTCGTTGAACCGTTCGGGTCTTTCAGATGTTAGTTGAACACACAATACATAACACACCATTCCAGATAAGAGTGAAAATATCACACCACTCACACATAACAGTGAAAATATCAGTTGTTATTTTAACTTCGTATTGTGATCGTGGAAATTATTCATTCAGAAACAGAGCATGGTACAAAACCAAACATCGATCACAAAATATCGATGTTGTAAAAACATCGGTGTTAATACATGGTTGTTTAAATCATTGATATATCTACAGAAACATGGATGTTTTGGAAGCATCAACATGTCGCATCTCTAACCCGAACCCTTCATTTTATACCCAACTTTCCCCCTCTTTTCGAAACATTTAGAAGCCGAGTAGCTCAGAGCGCTTCCTCGTGCCCCCGCTTCATTAGCGATGCCGGTCAGCCTCCATTGACCGCCGGTGGCGCCGCGGACGCCGCCGTGGAGAAATGCGGCGTCCAGCCCCGCAGGGCGGTGGAGGGGAGGTCCGGTGGCCGTGCACCGGGTGATTCACAGCGCCTAATTCACTCCCACGTGACGAATGCCCTTCCTGCCGTCTCCGCCTGCGCCCGCAGCGAGTGCTGCTATTCAGTGGTGGGCAGGCAGCGGTGCACTGTGGGCCGAATTCAGGATCAAAAGCACCAAGCGAATGGAAATAATTTAGAAAGTGGCTTGGAAATATGTTTTGGGTTATTGATTTCGAATCTAGTAGTGGATTTGACATTTTTTTTAATTAAAAATAATGG